GTATGACGGGCAACGGAAATCAGTCAAGAACTTACCAAATCAGTGTAGATACGGAAAAGTGTGCGATTATAATGGGCAAGGAAGGCATCAAAGCGCTCTTGTTCTCGCAGTCCGGCACGTGTGAAGATTTCGTTCAGAACCTTGCTTTGCTCTTCCAAATAGATATACGAAAGAGTGGCGTTCCGTTCCAAAATGCTTAAACGCTTCATCATGGTTTTGAAAATGCTTTCTTGCGTTCCCCCACCGGAGGAACCTGTTGGAGTGCCCACTGGCTGCTCGCCGTTCGTGCCGCCGTTTCCTTGATTTCCATTGGGAGATACTCCATCACCATTGGCATTGCCTGGGGTCTGTCGGATAAAACCAGACTCTGCAGCCAGTCCTTCTGGTTCGGTGGACATTCTGGCATAAAATCGTTCGGAAATAAGCAACTGTGTTGGGTCAACCACGTTTTGCTTCCATTCATCCCAGAGCGAATCCGGCGGAAAGGATGGGCGTGCGGCGCTATAGCCGGTCAACTTTTCCAGTGCATGCGGAGTTGGGCTTGTACCGTGATGATCGGTTGCCGCTCCACTGTGCGTGTTTTTGGATTGTGATGATGACACGTGTCCCGGCAACGGCAATGATGGTGAAGTGCGAACGTTATCCGCCCGGGTGGACGTTTGTCGCTGAACGGGCACTCGGTCAGCGTTCAGAATGGGAATCAGCGAGGGCTCAAAAGGTGCATTTGCCGACGGAATAAGCCCTGTTGGCTGGGGAACAATTGCTCCGCTCGTGATTGCCAGATTATCCTCTTCTGCTTTCATCTCTTCCATCATGGTTGTACCGTACACTCGTAACATACTCAACGGACAGTAGTACTCATGACCGTACTCTGAGAGGAAATTAACGCGTAGATAGCGAGCCCAAATGCGTGGGTTATGCACTTTAAAGTACTACACTCCCAGTTAATAGATCGACTTGGAGGATTCGAACAATAATGCCGCACTCACCTGAAAATCCCGAATATTTTTCGCACGAAACTGACCAAGGAGAGTCCATTCATTGTCCTTTGGAGGATAGCGATCGCTTGCATATATTTGGAAATCCTTAAACATGGAAGAAAAGAACTCAAAGTTCGCGAGCATGACAGTATCAACCAGAATATCTTCACATAATTCCACCACAACAAATCGTTTTGCGGAGCACTTGTTGAGCATATACGCATCCTTATTGTTGTGCAAGATCGAAGTGACAGAACTCGCCCCACGATTGTTCGCGAGAATCAAGGCGCCGCAGTCAAAAGATGCATAATTAAATCTTTCTTTTGATATATTTGAATTGACGGTGCTAGGTCTTCCAATGGGGATGTTGGGCTGTATGGAAGGCGTGGGGTGCTCAATTTGGTCAACGGAAAGCGTTGGGCTGTGACAACTTTTTTCATCGCTTGAGTCGTGTGAAGCAGAAGTCGCAGCTGTGGTTTGATCGGTATGATCAGGCGTGACGCTGGGAACAGTTTCTGTGGCAGTGGTTGTAGGTGCTAAAGTATTATCTTGTAAAGCAGGCTTGGTGGAGAGTGGCAGTAGAGTTTGTCCCATTAGAGCTGATGTGGGCGTTGACACAGGTGGCTCTCTTTTTGTGTCGCTAGAGGTGGCTTCCGGCAGATGGCCCTCTACACTACAAACTTGAGTGGGCATATCTTCTTGTAATGCACCTGACTGAGAGACAGGGCGACACTCCTCATGGAAAGGTGTCACGTTCGCGGTCGGCCTATCTTTGTTCATGCACTCTCTCGGCACAATTGGTTGGCTTTCCAAAGTAGCGAGTGCTTCGGTGCTCGGCAGAGCTGGTAGTGTGGACCATAACTCAGTGGGACATGTACCCTCACTTGTGAAAGACTCCCACAGGTCTGCAACCGAACAAGTGGACGAGATAAACTCCGCGGGCAAGGGTTCAGAAGCAGCGACATGGACAACAGAAAGGAAGGCCGCACAGCAAACTAAACTTGCAGTAGAGACCTTCATCCTATGTCATGGGTCCTGGCGAGGACAAGAAAACTGCATGAGCGCAAAAATGGAAATAATACAAGAGGACTGTACAGTAGGCTGCTTGCTTGGCCCGCCTTCCAGCTCGAGTGTGCTGTGCCACATACGTGGTTTTGTTGTTATGGGAACACTCTGGGATGCAAGGTAGGGATGTCAAACGAACTCCTAGATAATCCGCTAGATCAAACTCTCCAAATAACAAAATGAACGCCCCTACACATATGATGCCAGGCATGCCAGGCATGCCTCCTCCGATACCCATGCCTGGAGTAGTTCCGCCTCCCCCTCGGATCCCCAAGCTACCACCTCCAACTGAGGCGAGTTTGATGCTGATTGGTTCAGAACCCGTAGCTTGGCTTGCTGACCTTGTATTTCATCCAAAAGCCTTGCCAAACCCTGTACATTCGCAACCTTCCAGAAACTCGCGCGCTTACAGGTAGATTTATTTGATATTTTTCTTTCTGGCGCTTCGGGCTCATGTTTTCACTTTGCAGCTCTTGAGAGCGCCTTGAAAGCGCTGTTTTCACAGTTTGGCGAAGTGGTTCATATTCGACTTAAGCGCAACATTTCACTACGTGGACAGGCCTTTGTGACCTTTAAGGAAGTTGATTCAGCGACCAAAGCACTTAAGGAGGTGCAGGGATTTCCTTTATCAGGAAAACCAATGGTATGGGAATGAAGAGTCGCAGCGGTCCGACGTTGGTTCTAATCACAGAATGTCTGTAACACGTAGGATATTCAATATTCGAGAAACCGTTCTGACAAAGCCGCAGAGCTGGAGGGCGAGGAAGCTTTGCAAGAACACAAGCGAAAGCGAGCGGAAGAGAAAGGTAAAATTGTTTAAAATGGACGGGAATTTGCTGACGTGTTTGCTAACTGTTGATGACAGCCAACCGACACAAGAAGCCCAAGGACGAAAAGGTGGATGCTGCTGCTGTGGCAGCTGTCTATGGTCCCGGTAAGTGATCTGCGCCGGAATGACTGGTGCAGCCGTTTTGACTCTTACCACCCCCACTTCCATACAGGATACTACTACGGAGCTGCTATGCCCGAAGATATGGTGCCCCCCAACAGTATTCTATTTGTACAAAATCTCCCACCTGAAACGACGGAAGCAGTTCTGGCTGCCTTGTTCCAACAATTTCAAGGATTCAAAGAGGTACGATTGGTACCAGGAAAGAGTGACATTGGTAAGTTTCATTTTCCTCGCGTGGACTGTATTGGGTGTATGATTTCTTAAAGGGACTCGGATACACACACGCATAAGTTGTATATCCGAAGGGTCGGCCTGTCCATTGCACTCCGGGACGGCGGAACAGTTGTTACTGCAAACTTTCATCCACTGTTGTCATTGATTGGTGTCCTTTTCTTTTTTGTAGCCTTTGTCGAGTACGAGAGCGAAATGCAAGCAGGCGTTGCAAAGCAATCCCTCAACAAATTCAAGATCACCCCAGAAAAGGAAATCAAGGTCACATACGCCAAAAAGTAAAATAGAAACTCGTGTGTGTTTGCTGTGCTCTGCGGTTGTTTAAGAAGGAGAGCTGATAACAACAAAGCTGTGCAGTTCCAT